TGGCGACTAGATTATTAATCTTTTTGGTATCGCTAGATAACCGCAACTCCATTAACCACTGAAAGACGCGCAAAGCCCGCTCATGATTGTGACCACCTCATTTCAAGTCTATTGGTATAATGATAAATGTAGTTACATGAATGATATCTCCTCAGCGACGATGGGTCGCATTGATTTAAGAGGAAACAGGGGGGAGAGGAGTGAAGGGGACGTCAGGGTACTGGGCAACCTCAAGCTGGATACCGCCCTGGATGAGATCGAACAGACGAGCTCCCTTCTCGTTGTAGCCAGCGACGTACTCCTGACCGAAGACATCGAGGAAGGTGTTGTAGGTGGTCGCGGGGTCCTTGACGGCGAAGCGGGTGAAAGTGTCGTTGGTACCACGGAACAGGGTGCTGTTGGTGAAGTTGCCCTGAACGCTGTCGTAAAACTCGTTGGGAATGAGGGGAGACCGCGGCTGGGGGAACTCGAAGCCAATGGACTTGACGATCCACTGGGTGTCGATGTTCTTGAAGTCGGACATGCCGATGATGGTCTGCAGAGAGATACCATCGTAGAGTCTCTCAAGACGGGCAGCATCCCACTGATCACCGTCAGGGTGGTTCTTGACGAAGTTCATAGCAGCGACACCGCTGTCGATCTCGAAGCGGTATTTGTGGCTGTTGTAGGGAGTGTTGTCACGCTCTATAAACAAGTTAGAAATTAAAGGTTTCAAGAGCTGCATAGTAGCACTTACGGTCCCAACCAAGATCGTGCAGGAGAGAGCCAACGGCGTGGAGCTCAAGATCGACCTGGGACTTGAGGGTGGCGTTGTTGTTCAGGGCAGCAGCGCCGAGGAGCCATGTTCGGACAACGTGGTTGTACAAGTAGGGCTGGAGAGGGATGAACTCCTTGACGAGCTCGTGGGCATCCCGGACGATCTGGGTGTCAACAACCTCGACACCAGCAATGAAGGTGGTGGGAAGGTCAGCAGAGCACTTGGCCTTCTTGGAGGGGGCAGCCATGGCGGCGCCGGCCACGGCCAGAGTAGAAACGACTCCAGTAGCGAACTTCATTTTGAATAATTAGAACTACAAACAACGAATTGTTAAGAACAGAATAATCAAATTTTGATGAAAGGAATGAATGTGATGGGAGGGGTGGAGAGCAAAAAAGAAGAGTAGTATTCATGAGGCGTCGGATAACTTTATATATTTCATTCGCCTCGTAGCTCAGCTCGTCTCTCACTCCGCGAGCCTACGGCCTTCGAACGATTGCCCAGCCTTGGGATCCTCCATTACGCCAACGAAAATGGTATTAGTACAGGGTTGTAGCATGCATTTAACTCAAAATAGAAGCTTTAGCGTCTTCTGTGGATGAGGCTGACTATCCGCGGATTGTCTTTACACTCTTCTGCACCGCCCATAGAGTTGTGGAGGTGCCAAACAGGATATTAGCGCATCTTGGCGAATGCAAGCTGACTATGATCGGCTACGCTAGCATTGACCAGTTATTCGGAGAGTCCTTTGCAGCAATTAGCTAATCCTTGCCCTCGCAGTACTGGTTTGGAGCTGAGACAACAGTAGGTATGGAGTAGAGACGAGACTACGAAGTTCCAGCTATTGGTGCGATCAGATAACGTCGCCCTTTGGAACCTTAGTTCTGTAATCTACGATACTATGTTTATCTGTGAACTGAACGATGTACCTACTACTGCGGATACACTTCACTACAGTTGGTCTACTAAATAGACTACTATATCTGTCTGGACACAATGCATCAGTGAGGATTGCTTGTACCCCGATCATGACCAGGACCCCTGGATGGGATGCTACCGAGAGATGACGAGATGACATAAGACGCCAAGAGTCGGTATAAGATGGGGTTGGTCTAACTTGTAAAGTACTTCAACATAACCTCAGGGTCACAAGTGTAAAGTGTACCATTTGTCAACTGTAGCAAAGCACTATGGGAATTAGAGCTTGGTAGGTGACATTTAGTATACGACTAGTTTAAGTGGGATAAGGTAGCGGTAGTTCAACTGTTTTGTATACTTCGGGGTCAGCGCAATGAATGTGTTCCTGTGAACTGCAACTCTGGAGCGGCAAAATGGGACTGGGTCACGCGAAAGCAAAAGACGCCCCTTTTTGGCAGCATACAACAGGGCTTCTATGGTAATTCTACTGCATAACTATAATTTTAAATGAGAAGGAAGATCACCTCATCCCCAAGTGCAGGGGTACAGTGGAGATTCGAACCTGGAAATGCCGGCCGGGTCTTGGCTACCCAGAAGGGTAAGCATATAGTCTAGAATTTCTTCGAGAGCAAGGTGTATAGCGTAGGTACAGTCATACACAGCATCTATCTAGCGTACGCAGTTGTCTGGTCTTGTATGAGCGATACCTGGGTCTCTCATAACCGATCATTGCCGTATATAAAGTGTTATATATATATTCATATTGAACAGTTAGTAAACATGTCTTGATTTCAGCATGGTTTGAACATTCTGAAAACCATTGTCGCCAATTTTGCCTTCCACTTGGTGTACACTACCTGGTGAGACATATATCCCTGAATCCTGTCCATGCCATGAGTGGCAAACAATCTTGTACTCCAGTGTACGAGTATAAGCGATGTGGACAGCCCGGACCTCACGCGTCGTCTTGGCGGTCTTCGCGTCGCTAAAAAGGGAAGATCCGTACTCAATTTTAGTCATCCCTCATTCGATGGGCTTCGCCTACACTATTATAAGACTGGTTAGCGTGTATCATGTGTTGTCTACACGATTTGACATCGTTGAGGGTTGCTGAGCTCGCTGAGCAATCCTTCAGCTTCTTGGCAAGAGCCAAGACCAAGAAAGCTGACATTGGACAGTCAGCGACGCAGCAATAGGTCGAAATCTCGCGCCAGACTCTCGGCTCGTGGGTTCGGGCTTGACGTTTTGCATCATACCAAGTGGTGCTGTAATACCGCCAGTCCCAACCTTCTTCACGTGTTTCTTTCTGTATCTTGTATCCAATCCTCTCTTGCTATTAATTCGAACGTCGAGTGTATGCTTGCATACTCGAGTGGTGATTGTGTCGTTGTTTGCCACAATGTTTGCTACCTCGTTTATCAAGTCGTCCGTCAAGTTGTTGCACTGGTATTGCTTGTCCCTTGTACCAACCAATAGACTGCCTTGGAGCCAAAGGGCGGCGGTGATACGGAGACTATTCACCGAAGTAAACGTTGATTGTGTCAACTCTGTCCTTAGAATAGGCGACCCGGGTAACCATGCGTTATGCACTTCATCTTGATCCATGTCTCCCCTGGGTAATGTTGTCGGCTGAATCTCCGCCCTGTTCTGTTTCTGTTGACTCGATTCCGAGGAGGAGGATCGCCAGCCAGGTCTCTCATATTAACGAAGCACTCTTAGGTCATCGGGGATGAGTGCACGACCCGTGTTCGAGTTGGTGGTCGTGTCCTCAGGTTTGCTCTTAGAGTCCGGCCCCTGGTCTCTCGCTTGTCGCATGCTGGATGGAACTTGCGGGTAAGAACCACGATGAAGTAGAGCCTATGGAACAAGCATTCCGTCAACGTATATTTCTCAGCCTTACCTTGTCGAATAGCGCGGATGACATGAGTGAGGTTGCTGTGATATTAGTGTGCCACGCATGCTTGAGCACGTCTGCTATGCAATCGTAGACCCATGAATATAAATGGATACAGATATTGATTGACCTTGGATAGGCACGACCTTCGAGACTATTATCACACTTCCATACGTCGTCGAACCTACGGCTCCAAGGGGTGATGATGAAGTTTCTTTCGTGGAAGGGAAGTGATGGGACGTTACTCGCATTATGCTCAATGCTTTGGTGTTCCTTGTTCTTCTTGGTATGCGCCATGGTGGTAGGATAGGGTGATTGAAAATGGTTGGCAGACGGCTTGTTTCGATGAACAAGTCCTTCGAATGACTTCCCATCGACAGGGGCGATTCTTTGGAAGGGCTCCGAACAAGCGCACTGCTTTCCCTAATGTTGAATTCTCTCAACCAGTCTCCTAGGAGTCTTGTCCATGTAGTCTTGCCCTAAGCCATGTCGTCTCACGACCTATTCATATCTGCAAAACATGCTCAACGCATACTTGTCGAGGAGACCCATCGTGTAAAATAAGATATTGTTGCAGGATACCTCGGCTCTGTCTATGTAGGGGCAGTGGCAGTATTATATAGAAGAGCTTCTTACTGTTTGGTGCACGAGGCGTATACTAGTAGAGGTCTACACGCTGTTATTTTTAGGACGATTGAAGTGCTTCTGCGGCGCAGACACCAGCCCTACTAGTATATCAAATAATGAGTGTCCATCCGGGTAGCCATCCAGGTGGCAATTCAGGTTCGTATAGGGCTGGCCTGGGTGCCTATTTGATTTTAACGTGGCAGCTGGCCAATGCAGTCAGACGTAATTGGCTTCTTCATCGAAGCGAACCAAACAAAGCTGAATGCCATCCCTGCTGTCAACCTGACATACAGACAAGCTATACGGATAAGACAACTCTGGCCTAAGCAAGCTGTCCAATGATTTGTGTATTACTGTAATGCTCGAATCATGCCAGGAGAGATATAGATATTGCGTGATTGCAATTACTGTAATTGAAGGAGGGACTCACAGTTGGAACCACTTGGGTAACATTATAGGTCAATTTGTATTATTTCATGTTGCGTTTGCCAAAAAGAACGGAAAACCTTCAAATAAATAAATACACACTAAAACCCGACAGGCATTGTTTGAATTATAGATTATCGCCGGCCCTTCTTTTCCAAGCTTAGGTATAAAAGAAAGCCAGCTGGCTAGGTGGGTGATAGTAGAGTAAACCAAAAGAGATCCATGAGTGAATAGATAATCTATATAGGACAGACTCTTCAACAAAGCGATTTTCTTCTGTTGGCTTTTTTGAGCTATTTATCATTCCTCTGCACCCAGCCGGTAGAGTAGCAAGCTGAGTAAATGAAAAGAGAAGAGAATTAAAAAGAAAAAAGTATCTGGACGAACGGGGAATTGAACCCCGGACCCCTCCCAAGCATTATAATCCTAGATTTTGGGATGATTTGTATGCGAAGGGAGTATCATACCCCTAGACCATTCGCCCGATTCAGTAGAAGCGGCTACGAATGGCGTCATGTGACTTCATGGAAGACACTGAAACTAGAAGCAATGATATCGATGCGCGCTACTGCTAATTGATACAGTATAGAATATTCATCCCATACTGTATCTAGGATCGGATACCGCGCTACCACTGACCACTGACCATTGACTACATCTGGTAAGTACTTACCTAAGTGAGTATGTACCTAGCCAGCGTAACTTCTGTTTCTAAATGCATGGCTTGATATAGCAGCACGCTACCTCCCACTCGTGAATGATCAGTCTCCCAGATGATATGAAATCGCCATAAACCATCTTTGTACAACCGATCTGAGCTAAGCTGTTACGGCCAATGCCGCTTCAATGGCTCTCGACGCTGGCACGCGGTTAACAGGCGTTTGGTGAGCCTCACTCTAACCCCTGAACTTCTACACATACAGTACGGCAACTAAAAAGGGGGGAGAACGGAGAAGGACGAAAAAACTAGAAGACAATCCGGCTGACTAGAGAACAGGTTTCTAGCTTCGTTTGCCTGGCTGTCATATTCTTCGCAACGACACACCTTAATCCGTAATTGCTTGTCTTTCGTTGTCTAAAGTAAATCTGCTGACGCGGTACTCAGATCAGCCACGTCTCTCGTCCTTTCTGCTCCTCCTTATTTCTGGCTCACTCGCTTTCGTTGTGAGTGTCTTTTCAGAATGGCTTCCTGGCGCTCATGGAAGGTTTGGTTCGTTTACTCATCCCTATTCGCGTGAAAGCGATGGTTGTTGACGTTATGGTAGATTCCGATGCCGTCTTGAAGGCAGCATCATCTTCCTTGCCACCAAGACCACGTCGATTCTATGTACCCTGTATTATTATCCTTGTAATTTTTAGACTCGAGCTTTCTTATAGAAGTATGCATAATTTCCAGTGCTCTACTCCAGGTATCGAGGTAAGACGCTCGTCCCCCTTTTCACGAAGCTGGCAGTATGTAGCTAACTCTGTCTCACAGGCATTTTTGCCGCTGTTGTTAGTAGCACATAGGTTCTTCTCATATCGCGCATCACCGATAGAGTCAGATGAGCCCGAAGATATGTGGGGAAGTCCGTTGGAAGATTTCAAAGTATGGCTCACGGGCTCACCTGTTATGCTGCTTCTCGGTACCATCCTTCTGAGCTACGGTGCGTTTTTGGCTGGCAACCTTACAATGAGATCTACATACTTCTGTTCTTCTTTGGCCGACCAAGGGTCTCTCGTCTTTTTCGTTCAATTGGTTGGTCTATTCGTGGATGCAACTATCATCATCCTGTCGTCGAGAGTGCTATCCTGGTTACGAACTACGAAAAGTCGGTTGCGGACTCTCGGCAGCATTTTGTTGATCGCGTCATTTATGACATCCGTCCCTTTAGTAGCTGCAGGATTCTCAAAGCGTGGCGGAATCATTGGGAACCAATCTCTGAGAGGTGTCAACTCTCTCTATATTTTCGACACTTTGACTACTGGCATAGTTGTGGCTACACTTGTTATCTCTATATCCCTGCTGATATGCGAGACATCACCACATGAGCCTATTACCATTGCTACCTTTGCATGTAGCCTATTCGCCGCTGTTAGCAACGTGTTTCTGGTAGGCACGTACCAACAAACATCCGCAGCGCAACCACTACTCATATTAGGAACAAGCTCACTTGGGTTTACCATTTTCACATACGCGAACAATATGCGTTCCATCATTTTCATAAGACGCGCGTTTCTTCTGCTGTTGTTACTGAGTATAATGGTTTCTTCAATCATATACGTGTCCCTGACACCAAAGGTGTTCACTCGTCATCCGGTAGATGACCTTGTTTACAAGAACCGGATAGAGGCAGATCGGTGGCTACGGCATGCGACAGTCAGCACAACTATGAAGCTCGCGGTGAAGGAGTACGAAGAAAGACATCACGGGCGCAAACCTCCACGGAATTTTGACAAGTGGTTTGAGTTTGCCCGGCAAAGAAAGTCAGTTGTTATCGACAGGTTCGATCAAATGGAGAAAGATATCTTGCCGTTCTGGGGCCTACGGCCTCAAAATATTCGAGATGGCCTTAGTTTCCTCAAGGGCCAGCCCAATATCGGCATAATTAGTATTGCTGATAACAAAGTGTCTCACAATAGCCCGGCCGATCTGTCGCAGCAAGAAACACTCGATGGAATCGTTACTCTGATCTCCAGCTTTGTAGAGCATCTTCCGGCGATGGAAATTGCCATCAATTTGCAAGAACGGCCGAGAGTTTTGGTTCCTTGGAATGAGATACATCAATTAAGAACAACAGCAAGCCAGCCAGGCTTCCAGCTTATGCCCGGACGTAAGCGTGACGATTCGGATACTTTGGCAATGAAAGATCTCGGGTCTAACATGCGAATGGGAGCAGCACGTTCAGCTCAGACCTATATTGCAGCTCACCATTTTCAACAGCTAGTGGCCCTCGCTTGCCCTCTGGGGTCACCCAGTCGCGCTGGCCGCAGCTGGGACGTAGGAGACTTCTGTGCCACATGTACAGCACCTCACAGCAAAGAACAGTTCCTCCAAGATTGGCAAATGGCACTCGACCCATGTCATCAGCCGGATCTCTTCAATCTCCATGACTTTCACACCACACCTCACCAATTCGAACTCTATCAAGATCTGTTACCCCTATTCAGTGCGTCGAAGACGGCTAGTTTCAACGATGTCCTGATTCCCTTTCCATTGGCTGGGTCGAAACAAGAGTATGACGGCAGAACGTTTAATCAAAAGCAAGATGTCGTCCTTTGGCAAGGTGATGTTGACGATATTCCAACGGCCACCCACGAGTTTCTCCATGGTAGCCACAGGTTACGTTTAGTACATCTTGTCGAAAATGCCACGGCGACAGATCACATCTCTATGCTATTAGGGATAGGAGCGGGTCAGAATAGCAGATTTCGGTACGAATACGTGCCCGCCACCGAGGCAAATAGCATCTTACCTCTGCAATTCTCTTTGACTGGCCCATCTGAGGGCTGCAAAGACGCGAACTGCGAGCTCATACGGGACGAGTTCGGACTGCAGCAGCCAATCACGGAGGTGGATGGTCGTTACGTGATGTTACTCGATACCAGGGATGGGCCACCGCCGAACTTACTGCAGGTGCTGCGGTCAAACAGCGTACCGGTCCTTTCTTCTATATTCCAACAATGGTTTACGGAGCGGCTGATGCCCTGGGTCCATTTCATCCCCATAGATACGAGATACCACGCTCTACATAGCACGATGTCTTACTTCATTGGCTTGGATGGTCGTGGCACGCTCAACGGACGGAAACAGATTACGCCAGGGCGAACGGAAGACGCCAAATGGATCGCCCAGGAAGGTCAAAAATGGGCTGAGAAGGCAATTAGAAAAGAAGATATGGAAGTCTATTTGTTTAGGTTGTTACTGGAATGGGGACGGGTGATTGATGATCACCGGGACAGTATGAACTTTGTACCAAAAGAATAAGAGGGTGACTCTTGAGCACTCATTTGCTCCTGTAAGACTAATGACGCATAGTTGCTTTTTTTTTTTAAACAGTTTAGATAACCCTAGAGATAGGAACAATAGATCTATTGCATGAAAAAATAGGGTGCTTCGATATTTGTTAGTGTTTCGATGTCATCCAGGGCAGTCGAGCTGGACCGTATATATGTATGTAAAGAGGCGTGACGTATGCAGCTGTAATTGGTAGGTACGTAACCTCCCTGCATGATTCCCCACCAATCTCAGCCATCTCAGCCCACCTACACCTTCCAGCCGGTGTCCCCGTAGAATCGGCGAACCGAACAACCTCAACAGGCTTCATTACCCAGCCTCACCCATGGACTAGCCAATCGCCCACGTTTGTCCTTGTGAATTTACGATAAGACTTACAGGTATCTTTTCGCACGAAGACGCACACCGACACGGTGTGATGGTTGCGCAGCCGACGAATCAATACTTCGCAATACGTAGGCCACACAGAGCATAGCCCCGGGCAGGCAACAAATATCAACCGCACACAATGGCCGTCATAGACCAGGACAACTTCTCCAACATCTCGTGGCAGATAGAGACCAACAATGGTGCCGAAGCCGCCGAGTCAAGCGCGTCGATGCCGAACATCGAAGCTGAGCCGCCGAGCAGCGAGGATCGGCACCGCGGACAAGAGCTGCAGCGCCAGGACCCGGGCCTGTCGGGCGATATCCTCGAGTGCACCGTCTCGGAGCCGCACAAGGAGAGCGACGGGACCAAGGACGCCTTTGTGTCGTACCTGATCACTACCACTGTGCGTGTTGTCTTCCCTTCTCGCATGACCGCTGACCGCTTGACCAACGACCAGCGACCAATGACTGACTTGTTTCATCATCCTCGTCGACGATATAGTCCACCTTCCCTTCCTTCCAGAAACCCACCTTCACCTCCCGCCGGCGCTTTACCGACTTCGTGTTTCTCTCCAAGACCCTCTCGAAAGACTACCCAACATGCGCCGTCCCTCCGCTGCCCGATAAGCAGCGCATGGAGTACGTCCGCGGGGACCGCTTTGGCCCAGACTTCACTAACCGCCGAGCCTACTCGCTCCAGCGTTTCCTGTCACGTATAACACTCCATCCCGTTTTGCGCCGCGCACCCATTCTACACATCTTCCTCGAGTCTCCTGACTGGAACGCCACGATGCGATCTCGCGCCGGTAGGACAAGCGTTGCTTCTGACCAAGGAGCCGGTGGTGTATTCGATAACTTTGCCGACACGTTCATCAATGCTTTCACAAAAGTCCACAAGCACGACAAGCGATTTATTGAGGTACGCGAGAAGAGTGATAAGCTGGACGAGGACCTCGCCCAGGTCGAAAAGGTTGTGGCCCGCGTGGTGCGCCGTGAAACCGACCTGGAAACCGACCTGCGCGACCTGACGGAGCAGTTCCAGAAGCTAGTCACACTGGAGCCCGGCGTCGAATCTGCCGTACACGGCTTCGCTGCTAGTATCGAGGATTCTGCGGCAGG